AATAGTACCTCCCCATTCCATTTCACCCACGAGTCAGTGTTAACCAGTAATTTGGCTTTTCTGTCTCTATGTGTTTGTCTATTGTAGGTGCCTTAAGTGGAATCATAAAAAGTTTGTCCAGTTCTAGTTGGCTTTTTACTTAGAATAATGTTTCAATAATCATCCTTTTTTTTTTTTTTGGGTCCGGTCGTGGGGCCTGAACTCTGGGCCTGGGCGCTGTCCCTCAGCTCTTCAGCCCAAGGCTAGCACTCTACCACTTGAGCCACAGTGCCACTTCCGGCTTTTTTCTTATGTGGTGCTGAGGAATCGAACCCAGGGCCTCGAGCATGCAAGGCAAGTGCTCTACCACTGAGCCACCTTCCTAGCCCCCAAAAATCATCCATCTTTATTTAGCCAGGCACTGGTGGCTTAAGCCTGTAATCCTGGTTACTCAGGAGGGTGAGATCTGAGAATTGCAGTTGAAAGCAAGCCCCAGCAGCAAAGTCCATGAGACTCTTAACTCCAAGTAATTGCAGAAAAAGCCAGAAATGGCACTATAGCTCAAGTGGTAGAGTGCTAGCCTTGAGCAAAAGAGCTCAGGGACAATGCCCAGGTCCTGAGTTCAAGCCCCAGGAGCAGATCCCCTATTCACTCCTGCAAAAAAAAAAAAAAAAAATCATCCATCTTTTAGCGTACATCAGAAAAAGCCATCTTTTTAAGGCTGTACAGTATTTTGTGATAGGTCTTTATCACATTAAAAAAATCCATTGTAGGGCTGGGAAGGTGGCTCAGTGGTAGAGTGCTTGCCTTGCATGCATGAGGACCTGGGTTCGATTCCTCAGCAACACATAAGCAAAAAGAAAAAGAGCAGCCGGGCACTGGTGCCTCACGCCTGTAATCCTAGCTACTCAGGAGGCTGAGATCTGAGGATCGCGGTTCAAAGCCAGCCCGGGCAGGAAAGACCGTGAGACTCCTATCTCCAATAAACCACCAGAAAACCGGAAGTGGCCCTGTAGCTCAAGTGGTAGAGCGCTTGCCTTGAGCTGAAGAGCTGAGGGACAGCGCCCAGGCCCAGAGTTCAAGCTCCATGACCGACAAAAAAAAAAAAAAAAGAAAAAAAGCTGGAAGTGGTGCTGCGGCTCAAGTGGTAGAGTGCTAGCCTTGAGCTGAAGAGCTGAGGGACAGGGCCCAGGCCCAGAGTTCAGGCCCCATGACCGGACCCCCCCCCAAAAAAAAAAATCCATTGTAGCGGGCACCAGAGGCTCATGCCTGTAATCCTAGTTACTCAGAAGGTTGAGATCTGAGGATCGTGGTTCAAAGCCAGCCTGTGCAGGAAGGTCTGTGGGACTCTTATCTCCAATAAACCATCAAAAAAGTGGAAGTGGCACAATGGGTCAAGTTGTAGATTGCTTGCCTTGAGCTGAAACGCTGAGGGACAGCTCCCAGGCCCAGAGTTCAGGCCCCAAGACTGACAAAAAAAAAATTATTATGAACATATAAAGTGTTCCTAGCTTCTGACTATTATGCATAAGCTGCTATGAAGATGGATGTACAACTATCTATTCATCTTTGTTCTCTGTTTTTCCATAGGCTTTTCATTTTATCTCCACTCCTTTATTCCATTTATCTCTTTCCATGTACCACCCAGTACCTTCTTTAAAGAGAAAATAGGTTTGCAGCTAGGTGTTGGTAGCTCAAACTTGTAATCCTCTCAAGAGGCTGAGATCTTATGATAGAGGTTTGAAGCCAGCTCAGGCAGTAAAATCCATGAGACTTTTTTTTTTTTTTGTCGGTCGTGGGGCTTGAACTCTGGGCCTGGGCGCTGTCCCTCAGCTCTTCAGCTCAAGGCGAGCGCTCTACCACTTGAGCTACAGCGCCACTTCCGGTTTTCTGGTGGTTTATTGGAGATAGGAGTCTCATGGTCTCTGCTGCCCGGGCTGGCTTTGAACCGCGATCCTCAGATCTCAGCCTCCTGAGTAGCTAGGATTACAGGCATGAGCCACCAGCGCCCGGCTGACTTTTTTTTTTTTAAACCAGTCCTGGGGCTTGAACTCAGCCTGGGCACTGACCCTGAACTTCTTTTGCTCAAGGATAGCACTCTATCACTTGAGCCACAGCACCACTTCTAGCCTTTTCTATGTATGTGGAACTGAGGAGTCAAATTCAGGGCTTCATGCATGCTAGGCAAGCTCTCTACCACTAAGCCCCTGTGAGACTCATCTCCAATTAACAACCAAAAAGCCGGAAATGGAGCTGTGGCTCACGTGGTAGAGTGCTAGCCTTGAGCACAAAAGCTCAGGCCCCAAATTCAAGCCCCAGGACTGGCACATACACGCATGCGCACATAGGTTTATAACAGCCAAAAAGTGAAAACTGTATGGCAATATAGATTTTAAAAGCAAACACCTGTGTTTTAGTAGTACTGCTAGAGGTTGAGGTGCCTCCTTTATGGGGAGTGAGGTGTCAGGATAATGTACTTCATTCTTTGCTTACTTTTTGAATGTTTAAAGGCATTGCTCTAGTCCTATCCTCAACTCAGTCTGTTCTACAGCAACACAAAACTTTTTGTAGTCTTGAAACCATACTAGTTCTCTATTGCTGATTTTTCCAGCTTGAGTATTTTTTTCCTTTATGGGGAGTGAGGTGTCAGGATAATGTACTTCATTCTTTGCTTACTTTTTGAATGTTTAAAGGCATTGCTCTAGTCCTATCCTCAACTCAGTCTGTCCTACAGCAACACAAAACTTTTTGTAGTCTTGAAACCATACTAGTTCTCTATTGCTGATTTTTCCAGCTTGAGTATTTTTTTCTTTTTGGGAAATCTTCCCAGTATCTATCATTCTGTACATATATACATAGCCACCCTGTACTAGGTAAACCCCCTCCCGTATTTTATTTTTTGTCAGTTGTGGGGCTTGAATTCGGGCCTGGGTGTTGTCCCTCAGCATTTCAGCTCAAGGCTAGCGCTATACCACTTGGGCTACAGAACCACTTCCGTTTTTCTGAGTGGTTTAATGGAGATCAGAGTCTCACTGACTTTCCTGCCCAGGTTGGCTTTGAACCGTGATCCTCGGGTCTCAGCCTCCTTAGTAGCTAGGATTACAGGCATGAGCCACTGGTGCCTGGCTATCCCTTCCCATAATATATGGGTAATATAGGTTTTGTAGAATTGAAATTTATGTGCTGTTGAAATTCTTTCAGTGGTGCTAGGGTTTGAACTCAGGGCCTTGCACTTGCTGGCTAGGTGCTCTATCACTGGTGCCCTACTCCCAGCCCTTTTTTGCTTAAATTTTTTCGGTATGATTTGCCTACCTATGCCTCCCAGTAATTGGGATTATAGACAGGCACCATCACTCCTAGCTTGTTTGTTTATGCCAACTGGAGCTTGAACTCAGGGCCTGGGCACTGGTCCCTGAACTTTTTTTTTTTTTTTTGGGGGTCCAGTTGTTGGGCCTGAACTCTGGGCCTGAGTGCTGTCCCTCAGCTCTTCAGCTCAAGGCTAGCGCTCTACCACTTGAGCCACAGCACCACTTCCGGCTTTTTTCTTTTTGCTTATGTGATGCTGAGGAATCAAACCCAGGGCCTCCTGCATGCAAGGCAAGCGCTCTACCACTGAGCCACCTTCCCAGCCCCATGGTCCCTGAACTTCTTTTGTTCAAGGCTAAGCATTACTACTTGAGCCACAGTGCGACTTCTGGCTTTTTCTGTTTATATGGTACTGAGGACTCAAACCCAGAACTTCATGCATGCTAGGCAAGCACTCTACCACTGAGCTACATTCCCATCCTTGTTTATTGAGATGGAAGGTGTGGAGAACTTTATGTTAGGGTTAGGTCTGACCCTTGATCCTTTTAATCTGTTTCCCTAGTAGCTAGGATTACAGCCGAGATCTAACCCACCTGGTTCCCTGCTGGGGATTCTTAAAATACACCAAAATTAATTATTTACAATTAAATATTTACAATAATGAATACACATTACTGGAGACTTGGGGGATTCAAATTCTTCTTAAGTCGCTATAAGTAATTGATCATGTTATACAGAATTGCTCCCAGAAAACAAGTTGGCCTCCCCTTTCCACCTACTAAAGTCTCAACGGTTTCCTGTTCTTCCAGGATCAGGTGTGAGAGGGCCTTGAAGTTTAAGGTTCATTAGCTTCATGTAAACTTGTCATCCATCTGGCAGAACATATGTGGCCCCTGGCAACCAGCTGGGGGCCTAGCACTGGGCTTGGAATGTGTTTGGGACTGGTTAAGTCTGGTTAAGTCTGACACGTGGTTTTCACCAGGGTGGGAGGCAGGCTGAGAGAAAGAAAACTGAGGTGAGGTGATTAGGATTGGATTCCTTCCTTTCGCTGGTGAGGGCGCTGTCCTGAACAGTGGCAAAGATCCGCTTTTAAAGGCCATGTTCAAAGCGGAATTCGCCCCCCCCCCCGCCCCCGTCTCGTCCCTCCCAAACCATGTCCGGCTCCCCTAACCTCCTAATAACTTATCCCGATGACCTGAGAATGGATCTGGCAGAATATGAAGATTAAACCGTGCCTCGGTCTTGGGGGGGAGGGGGAACTCCACGCAAGGGTGAGGGGAGCAGCGGAGACGGCATCACCTTAAGTTTCTCGGCGATTCAACACAGAAGTAGGCCAACAGCGCCCCTTCAGCGCCCTCCCGCTGGCTCTCCGCCTCCTCTTCCGGAAAGGGAGGTGCTCGGCGTGCGAGCGCCGCCGGGAGATGGTGCGCAGGCTCAATCAGGCCGCTTCTCTTTCAGCCATCTTCCACCTTCCCAGGTTTCGGGTGCCAGGACGTGACGCAGGCGCTGACGTAATGAAGGCGCGCGGGAGATGGGCGGAGGAGGGGGTGGGGGAAAGAGGGTGGGGCGGAAGCGGGCGGGGGGAGGGGGAGAGGCAGGCTCCGAAAGAAAAAGGCTGCTGAGCCGCCGGGATCTCGCGAGAACATTCTGTTCCTGCGCAGTTCTCGCGCGCTGCAGCTCTGGATTCCCGTCGCAACGAGATCTTTCGAGATCTTCTCCGCCCCCGCGGCCGGCGCCTGCTGTGTGGCGGCTGAGCCGGTGCCGGAGAGCCGGCCTGAGGGTGCCCCAGGGTCGCGGCGTTTCCTTCCAAGGACTTAAAGGCGGCTCGCGTGGGGACAACCCGCAGGTTTCCCCCATCCGCTCCGGCCTTTGCAGCTCACGCGGCCCGTCCTCAGCGCGCCCAGTCAGCCCCGCCGGGGTCCGCGTCCTGTTCTTCAGCGGCCGGACCCGGGCCTGAGCCCGAGTAAATAACCGGCGCCATGTCGGTGGTGGGCATCGACCTGGGTTTCCAGAGTTGCTACGTGGCCGTGGCCCGTGCCGGGGGCATCGAGACGATTGCTAATGAATATAGCGACCGCTGCACGCCGTAAGTGTGGGCCGGGCCGGCCGCGTGCCCTGGGGTTGGGGAGGTGGCGGCTCGCTCCGTTCGGCTTGGGGAATGCAGGCCCGGGGAGGGGGGGTGGGGGGTTCACCTGGTTCTAAACCCAGAACCCAGGTGGTAAGAGATCCGCACCGTCCCCTTCGGGGTACTCCAAGCGGCCCACCCGCCTTTGAGTGCCTGTCGACTCCAGGTGCGGGGCCTTTTCCCGTGGGCCAGAGGAAGATTTTATTTCCTATTTTTTTTTGGGGGGGGGGGGGGAGAGGGAACCAATAATTAGCGGAGAGGGCATGGATCAGAAATGGAAGGGAGGCAGGCCCTGGATGGAGGATGGACTAGGAGTTATCTTCTTCTTTTTTTTTTTTTTTGGGTAATAAAAGGGTGGAGTGTAGGCCCCCAAAGGCATGCTGACCATTTTTGAATATCCACCCTAAGGCTCGGACCCTAACACACAGCAGGTGCTTAATGAAAGTTCTTAACTTGAATGGGTTGTGAGGACTGCGGACTGGCGAGGCCATCTCCAGAGTCCCACGTGAGTGGGGGCGGGGCAGCACCTCGAAGTGGGGGGGGAGGGAGCTGAAGCCTTGGGGTCAGGCTCCGAATACACCCATCCGCTATCTCTGTCCAGGTAGGGGAGCATGGATTGATAAAAGACAGAGACTTAATAAAATGGACACTTGGTAGTTTTTTTTTTTTTGGAGGCTGAAGCTATGTAGCTTAGGCTGGCCTCGTTCTTCCTGGTGATCCTCCTGCCTCAGCCTCTCCGAGAGGGATTGAAGTTACAGACGAGCCCTACCCCGCACGTGTTTCCCCCCCCCCCCCCCCCCCTTCCCTGGTGATGCTGGAGATGAGTATTGGGTCTTGTGTAGGCTTAGGCAGCGCTGTAACACAAAAGTTGCATCTCCAGACCTTTTAATGCTATCCTTGTCGACACTTCTCGGGTTTCCCTCACCGCATTTCATGATTTTTAGCCGTGTTGGGGTATTCTCTGCCCAATCTGTGCGAACTATCCCTTAGTAGTGTTGCATTTTGAAGATAATACTGGGGGAGTGGGAGGTGGTTGGTCAAGATTATTAGAGTCAAGGGCTTAGTTTGACTTCTACAATTTAGGAGTGGTGATGGTACCAGTACAGACAGAGCTCCAAAAATGGTGACTCACCCAGGTCTTGCCTTCGTTAGGGTAAAAAGCATGTCTTTGAGTACATGTAGATAATGTCAGTGCTGCTTTTTTTCTTTTTTCTCCTCCTTAAAGGCCAGGTAACTTTGTAGCCTAGAGTACCCTTGAACTTTGAATCATACTGCCTGTCTTCCAAGTGCGGGGATTACAGGCCTCTGCCACTCCTTCCCCTGAACCATGTAGATAATTTATAATCTGTTGCCTTCTATTTAGAAACAATTCGATAAGAAACTCCCATGATACTTATTTCCAGGTTCTCAAATGTGGCTTTTCAAGGTTCTAAATCTTGAGCCAGAGGCTCATCCTTTCATCCTGAGTTTTTTTCCCTTTTTTGCACCAGTCATGGGGCTTGACACTCAGGGCCTGGGTACTGGCCCATGAGCTTTTGTGCTCCAGGATAGTGCTCTGCTCCACTGTGGGCTTTTTCCCCCGGTTAATTGGAGGTTTGAATCACAAGAATCTCAGAAGTATCTGCCTGGGCTGTTTTTAAACTCTCAACTTTCTGAGTGGTTAGGATTCCATGTGTAAGCCAACAGTACTAAGTTCACCCTTAATTTTTTATCTCATCCTGGCAGGTTTCTAGCTGAACTAGATTGTTCTATATGTCACTTTTTTTTTTATTACTTGAAAGATTCATTGTCTTTCCTCTTGTCAGATTTTATCCACACCCCCTTTGGCCTGTTCTTGGTGTTTAACCTGAAGTCTCATCCTTGAACTCTCAAGTTGATGTTTGATTCAGTCTTTGACCTGAGTTTTATAGTTTTCTTAACACTTCATTGAAGTACACTGTACTTCACCTATTTGGTCACCTATTTGAAGTGTACGGCTTGATAGGCTTTAGTGTAATCACACACTACAACCATCCCCACAATTTTAGGACATTTCACCCTCAAAAACTCAGTTAAGTTCTTTTCCATCTTATAGTGTGTGTGTGTGTGTGTTATGTATATGTGTGTTAGTCCTGGTTCTTGAACTCAGGGTCTGGGCACTGTCCTTGAGTTTTTTTGCTACACTGGAGCAGCAGCTCCACTTCTCTTTGGTGGTTAAAAGATAAGAGTCTCGGCTGGTGTCAGTGGCTCATGCTTGGAATTCTAGCTAAGAAGGCTGAGATCTGAGGATCATGGTTCAAAGTCAGTCCGGACATGAAAGTCACCAGAAAAGTGGAAGTGGCGCTGTGGCACTAGCGTTGAGCTGAAGAGCTGAGGGACAGCATCCAGGCCCAGAGTTCAAGCCCCATGACAAAAAAAAAAAGTCTCACATACTTTTCCTACGTGGGCAGGTTTTGAACTTCAGTCCTCCAATCTCAGCCTCTTGTGTAGCTAGGATTACAGGCTGGATCTACCAGCGCCTAGCCCTTATTTATAACAATGGGTATTCCAGTTTGTTTTTCTGGAGAAGTGTATTGTGTTCTGCTTCTAAAAAAGTACTAAAGATATTTTTTTTGCTGCCATTCAACGGATAAAGGGTCTTACATAGAGCTAAAACAAAGGACCAAAACTTGAAAACAAATAACCCAGTTAATAAATGGGCAAGAGAATTAGATACAGTTCTCTGAAGAAGAAACTATAGATGAAGAAGTGTTCAGCATCCATAACTGTATAGGAAATGTAAGTCAAAACTGCTAATCTAGGCAGTGGTGGCTCATGCCTGTAATTCTAACTACTCAGGAGACCAAGGTCTTAGCAGGCTCTGTCTAATTGATTAGCAAAAAGACTGTATTGGAGGTGAAGTTTAAGTGGTAAAATGCCAGCCTTGAGTGAGAGGATCTGCTTCAAGCTCCAGTACCCAAAAATAAGACTTAAGATTCCATCTCAAGCGGGGCGCTGGTGGCTCACGCCTGTAATCCTAGCTACTCAGGAGGCTCAGATCTGAGGATCGTGGTTCAAAGCCAGCCCGGGCAGGAGAGACCGTGAGACTCCTATCTCCAATAAAAAACCACCAGACAACCGGTAGTGGCGCTGTGGCTCAAGTGGTAGAGCGCTCTCCTTGAGCTGAAGAGCTGAGGGACAGCGCCCAGGCCCAGAGTTCAAGGCCCACGACCGACCAAAAAAAAAAAAAAAAAAAAAAAAAGATTCCATCTCACCTCAGTCAGAATGATTATCACTAAGAAAACAGCTGCTTGATGATGAGATGTAAACTAGTGTAAGTACTATAGAAACCAATATGGTGGTTTCTCAAAAAAATTTAAATCTGCCCTTAGGACTGTGGCATATCACATTTGGGACATATAGCTGAAGGAGTGCAGATTAATGTACATTAAAGATACCTGCAGGCCTATATTTATTGCGGCTTTGTTCACAGTAGCCAAACAGTTTAATTACCCAGGTGCCCAAGAACTGATGAGTGGATAAAGAAAAATAGAAGATATCTATGGGGGGGACGGCGGAGGGAGAGAGAGATAGAGAATTTACTCAACTATAAAGACAAATGAAGGGTCTGAGAAGGTGGCTCAGTGGTAGAGTGCTTGCCTTGCATGCATGAGGCCCTGGGTTCGATTCCTCAGCACCACATAAGCAGAAAAAGCTGGAAATGGGACTGAGGCTCAAGTGGTAGAGCGCTCACCTTGAGCTGAAGAGCTGAGGGACAGCGCCCAGGCCCAGAGTTCAAGCCCCACGACCAGGGGGGGGAAAAAAGGCAAATGAAATGTCATTTGGATGGAACCAGGAGATCCTATTGAGCGGGATTAAGCCAAGCTCAAAACCCAAATATACTCGTTTGCAGATTCTAGACTTTAAAGATATAGAGAACATAAAAATATAACTTGAATTGACTGAGACATGGGGCGGGGCAGGTGTTGGGGAGAGAACGATGGAGGCAACTCTCAAAATACATAGTGCTGACAGGTACCAGCGGCTCGCAAGTATAACCCTAGGTACTCAGGAGGCTGAGATTTGAGGGTTGCAGTTCAAAGCCAGCCTGGCCAAAAATTCTATGAGACTCTTATCTCCAATTACCCACCAGAAAACTGGAAGTAGCCTTGAGCTGAAGAGCTGAGGAACAGTGCCCAGGCCCAGAGTTCAAGCTCCATGACCAACATAAATAAATAAAAATACACAGTTATTTTTGTTTTTTGGGTTTGGTCGTGGGGCCTGAATTATGGGCCTGGACGCTGCCCCTCAGCTCTTCAGCTCAAGGCTAGTGCTCTACAACTTGAGCCACAGTGCCACTTCCGGCTTTTTTCTTTTTTTGCTTATGTGGTGCTGAGGAATTGAACCTAGGGCCTCAGGCATGCAAGGCAAGCGCTCTACCACTGAGCCACCTTCCCAGCCCCATCCCTGAGATTCTTTTGCACAAGGCTAGCGTTATACAACTTGAGCCATAGCCACACCACTTCCAGCCTTTTCTGTTTATTATACTGAGGAATAGAATCCAGGGCCTCATGCATGGTAGGCAAGCACTCTACCAATAAGCCACATTTCTAGTCTTACATAGTGGTTTTTTTTTTTTTTTTGTTGGTCATGGGTCCTGAACTCTGGTGCTGGAACAAGAAGCCATCCTGGAAAGGTCATGCCCAATGTTGCTTTTTTTTTTTTTTTACTCTGGGCTTGGGCACTGTCCCTGCGCTCTTCAGCTCAAGGCGAGCGCTCTACCACTTGAGCCACAGCGCCACTTCCGGTTTTCTAGTGGCTTATTGGAGATAAGAGTCTCACGGACTTTTCTTGCCCAGGCTGGCTTTGAACTAGGATCCTCAGATCTCAGCCTCCTCAGTAGCTAGGATTACAGGCGTGAGCTACCCACGTCCAGCTCTACATAGTGTTTTTATGAAGATATTGTAAAGATATAAGGATATAAAAACTGTTGATCAATAGGG